TTCATACTGGGAAAAGGCAGATTGACACACAGGACACGTGGAGGTTAAGCAAAAAGAGAATCAGAACAACAGTGTTAGCCTCTCACAATTCAGAAAATTCTCCATCTAGATTCTGGTGAGTACCAAAAGCATTTGAAAATTCAACAGCAGTGATTGGGAAGGACACCAGTGAAATCCAAATACATTCCTGGTAGTTCATAAAGTCTTCTAGTCATGTATCAAGGGTGAAAAGACTAATCCATTACATTAGTCATTCATTTAGGGGTAGGTAATAGGAAAAAATCCTCAGGGACTAGCAGACATTTTCTAATAAGTGACTTGCAGCTCTTTAGTAAGTTCAGTCCCACAGGACACACATTTCTGAAGTCTCAACATATTTTCACAAGTGCTAAGAAATGCAGTAACAAGAAAGTTCTGTATAATTCCTGTTCCCAAGCTTAAAAATATCAATTTAAACTCTTGCAGCCATGAAAGAAAAAACCATGTAAAATGGAAGTGTTTCTAACCAAGGTATAAAAGTTTAAATGTAGGTTTTATTTAAAGATACATTATATTTTAGAGGTCAGACAATAAAGAATGAAGTTTTTATCATGACAGAAGGATAAGGACAGATATTACGACCTTCTCCCGTTTTAGCATTCTGCATCTTTGTGGAGAAGGTATGATGAGTTATGGTTCCTCTCACTATCAGGTTCATTTGTTGAGCTCTACAAAGTTTTAAGTAGAACTGTCTGAATGTCATGCTGACACCTATGAAAAGCTCAGTTAGTGGTGGTGATAGAAGAATACAGCAGAAAGACAAATATTTCAAATTAGTATTACTTCAAATCCTAAGATACCTAAAGAAATGTTAGAATCTATTAATGTACTTCCTGGATTCAGCTCCACCTGACTTCCTGGTTTAGCCTTAATCAGCTTTCTCTTTCAGAAATATTTTGGGAATTTCAAAGAAACAGCACAAGCAATTTTGCATAATTGCATAATGCATAATGCAAAAAGTAATATGAAGTGCAAAAATACTTTCCATATTTGTTTGTTTCTCCCACTGAAGTTCTTAAAGATGATTTGACTTGGGGCTCAAGCTGATTCACCTGAAGATCTGGTTTCATAGGAACATGTTCTTTTATTATTGGTTTCTGTCAGAACCAGCCTACCCTAAGGGCAATTTGTGTAACTTCTTAGACATTCTGTAAACCCGTACAATTGCCAGGGATAAGTCTTTTTTTGAAAGGCATCTTTAAAGATTCCAGATTCTTTTATTTTGCTTCAGTCAGTGTGATTGAGTGTGCTGGGCAAGGTTTTAAGTTTCTGGAATTTAGTCATATTATTGTCAGTGCTGCTACTCTGGTCTTATCTTAAAGCTGCTTGTAAACTATAATTCCTAAAGTTTTTATACTGAAATCTGGTGTCAGAATCTTGCCAAATTATATCCTTTTTAGCTACTTAACTAGGACAATTCCAGAATTAAAAATTCAGCCAACACACACAGACATAAAACATATGGGAAAAGCAAAAGAAGATGAATCGTCACAATATTTTTTTTTATTTTCTAGTAAATCCTTAAAAAACCTGTAAAATCATCATCATCATCTGTAATTTAGAGGATCATTTCCAACAAGTGCTGCTTTCTATACATCACATATTTACCATTCCTGAATAGTTCCCTTGGAGGACAAATAGGTCCACAATTTTAGAATAAGATTTTAGGAAAATAATTAGGGATTTAGAGATCCTGATAAGGGAGGATTATTTTTTTGTTGCCAAGAAAACTCACTTGATAGAAACCTGGGTTTAAAGAAATGTCACACCATTTACTTTTGAATCTCTACAGGGGAGGAGAATAAGGGATTTACCTCTTACTTCTTTCCTATTCAAGGTGACTCCCAAAGGCCTCGAAGAAAATTCCCCCAGCTCTAACTTGCAGTGAAAGGAAATCATCCACATACTAAAATAACCTATTACACATAATCCAGTTGCTCACATTTATTTAGAATGGTTTATATTCAAAACCTAAAAAAGGACTAATTTCAGTCTAATTTTCAAATACATTACATTATTTGGTTTGGGTATTTTTTATGTAACTACACTTTATACCATTGAGTTACAAAGTAAATGCTCCAAACATGGAGTTTACCTTGCAATTGTAAGAATTGAATGGTGATTTGCATACTATTTTATAATTTGCCCTTCCTATATCTTTACAGTACAGCTGAAACAATAATCCTAGACCTTCCTATTTTCTGCCACAGACAATTCTCAGAAAGAGAGATACAATCAGGAAAAAAAAATACACATGCTAGCTAAAGAGTTGTTTATCCTATTGATTTTCTATTTAATCCCATAAAAGGCCACCCTTCCAACACTAGAAGCCTCTCAAAAGAAAGCTCAAAGTGATATTATCTAGTCTAAGGATACTTTGGCCTAGGGCAGCCAAAGTTAAAATTACTTACAAATTACTCCAAAAGTTAAAATTTGAGGAACTATCACTAATGCTGTTCCCCACTACAGCTGAAAGATTTAAAAAGCAAGGATCCACAAATCAGGGATGCAAAAAATGATCTGGGAGGAGACATGGAGGAAAGAAGAAACACTTGAATTTTTTTTAACGAGTAGAATTAGCTGCAAAAGTTTAATTGTGGCAGAGAAATTGAGTCATGACTACATATTGAATGCAAATAAAAGTCTTCACCGGAAGAGATTATCTAACATCATCTAGCCTCACATTTAAGGTATTAAAAAACTCTCAAACTATCAAAAAAATCTCCTCAGGACACAACTAGCACCAGAAGTCAAGATATCTTCCAAGTTCTTCTCTTCTTACTCCATTCAGCCTGTCAGTGATTTGTACTTCAAAAGTAAAAATAAAGGGCAATTACTGAATGCGAAACGTAAAAGACCTAAAAAAAAGTAAAATGAGAGGCAATATGACAACCAAAATGAAAGAAGTCTTAAATAATTTTTTGGCTCTCCAAGTTCACTGATGTTTGCAGAACTGACTGTCCCACAGTGAATCCCTGGAGGATGGGCATGGCCAGCCCTGGCTCGTGGACCCCGTGAGTTCCCAGCCCGGCTGCTCCGGGCCGGGTGAGCGATGGCACTGCCAGGCCAAGGGGCCTCCTGCCTGGACCAAGGTCTTGTTCTCTGTACTCAGACATTTAGTGGATTAGCAACACTTAAGTCAAGTAGGATTTGAGGAAGCACAGACAAATATTTATTGTAATGGTATTTGGAATTCTGCAAATAACAGTGAAATTAGTGTACTGGCATTGAAGCATGAGGCAAGGTGGATGTTTTCTGTAAAGGGAAGTGTGTTACCTGTTAGATCCCAGAAGTTTGTAAACCAGGCAAAAGGTTGTATTTGCAACAGTGTTTCTTTATGATTTCAGTGACAAGAAGCAGTACTTTTAAGACCCTTTTAAGTCAGAGTTTGAAGAAGCATCATGGGGATCACTCCAATGTGGGAGCAAAGGTAACCAATGAGTAAGGTACATCAAGTGTTTTGTAAGGCACACAGACAATGGATACATGAATTCAGGACAGAAACAATAAGCATAAGAGTTTAGTTACAAAACTTACTTTCCTGAGAAGATATCTCTAATATTAGTTATATATGCAAGTATAATGAATTATTACCTACAAGAGCTCTTGTACTATATTTGAACTGAACTGTGTTAAATGGATATCTTGCCACACGGGTATTAATTTTTATAACTTTAACCTTACAAATTAAAAAATAAAAATCATTAAAGAATAAGTATTTAGCTGGTCTGTCTTTACCTAACAGTCAATAGTGCAACTGCATGAAAATGCACTCACAAGCTGCTGATACTACTGGCACATATCCATACACTAAATGAACCTGCCTTTGGAAAAACAGGTTGGATTTTTACCCAGAAGATGAGAAGGATCAGATTCAGTGGTAATGCCTTCAGGGATTTGAGATCAGGGAAATTGCAAAGTGGAAATGTACTGAGAGCAATTTCCCTACTCCGTGCAAATGAAATCTAAAACACATATGCTTTTGACATCTAAGCTTTTGAAGATCGGATCCAAAATTAATCTTGAAGCAGTGAGAGAGTAAAGAAAGAGGGGAAAATCACTTTTATTTCTCTTCATGTGCAGTCAAATTGTTTCCACCAGCAGTTCTCTGAGTCTTATCGGTGGGCACTGTGCACAGCAGCTGACACAACCCAGCTTCAGAGTTCTTTAATGAGGGTGGGCAATCTGTTCCCACTGCAGCAGTGGCACTGAAACATAACACACCAGAAAGGAGACGTTGCATTCTCACTTGTTCCAGCAAGTGCAATCTCAAAACAACATATTGGGCTGAAGATCCAAGACAGCCATTTAGTAACTGCTGCAGTACTGAGCAGCTCATGATTGATCTTTTTCCTCTACTTTTATAGTACATAAGACATATTTTTTCAAGTGTGATGCAAATAAACACTTCATATTTTAAGTAACAGATATATTAAAAACTAAATACTATGCTTTTCTCAGTCTCTCTTACTATCTTTCTTACTCTATTTTGTTTCTCTCTGTTGTCTCATGAAATACTGAACCGGGTTAAAAATGTTAAAATCCTACACATTAAAAATATAAATTCCTGTAATTCCTGCATCCCTTTACCCCTTCAATCAGTTCTCTGGATTTGCTAAGTCCATAGGATGTCAGGCAGTTTTCCTCACAATTTCTCATTATCATAAAAAGGGATCATCCCTCCTTGGAACTACAGAATAATCTTTTGCCCTTCTGCTTTTACTGCTTCTCAACAGGTTAAACATAAATTTCTTTTCCTGACTGACTGACAGACACCAATACAGTAGGTAACAGAGATTACTTGACTGGGAAACTTCATACGTTTTAACTTTAGGAGAGCTTCACAAGATTTTGTTCCATAAAAAAAGAAGGTAATTTATTTGTGGGCCATGAAAAGGAATTGAATTTGGAAGAAGAAACAATACCTTTCTGGCATAGCAGATAATTAATACACAATTATTTACTCTAAATTGATACATGTGAAAATGTTTAACACAGTCAGCAGCTGAGGTGTGAGTCCTAAGATGAAAAATTATGAGAATACTGAGATCACTGAAAAGTACATGAAATGAAGTGAAAAATGAAGAATTCGAAGTCAACAAGCACATGGTTTGAACTAATTGCACTTAAAAAGACCACCAGCCAGGTCTTGACAATTCTATTGATTGCAAATCCTAAATTAAATGCAGCATGCAAATCTGTCTGGAAGCGATTTGGATCTCTGTGAGTCTGTCAGATTCCTGCCAGCAATATAGATGAAAAATTGCCTTTTCCAATAGGGTTTTAACAAGAAATGAAAAGACATTTATTTCAGAATAAGAGAGGACTGAGTAACCTACAATTAGTTCACTTTTGGATATTTTTTCTCCTGAGGGCAATTCTCGGTAAATATGTGTTCAACTGTATTCCCTACAAAATCAGGTTTTATTTATATTCAGATTTGGATGCAGATGAGCCTCTCAGGCTACAGAGAATGCCAAGTGAACAGCAGCAACCAGTTCTGATCAATTATTTTTTCCAGCATCACATCAAAATTGATGACTTTTTAAAAACAGTGTTATTTAAATACTTTTATTTGCTGGAAAAAATCTGTAACGTGAAGATGACAGCTGTAACTTTCATTTAGCTATCTGAAAGTTCTTTGTGATCTGGATAGACAGGTTGTGCATTTTGCCTTCCCAGACCGGCTGTTTACCCATGGCATATGTGGGAGGAGCACTGAATGTTGCTTCAGATGTGAACAGCAGAGTATAAGCAGATTTTGCTTTAAAAAAAACCCCACTTATTTATGAGCCTTGACAGCAGGCAGTGTAGTTTTCAAAATTTTAATGATTTCAGTAAGAACAAACATTGGCTCACAAAACACATGGCAGTATTACTGCCCACCAGATTTAAAAATATCCCAAAAGAGAATTTAAAACCCACAGCAAGTCTTCTGTAATTAATCCAGTAACTAAAGATTGTATTCTGAGTGTTAATTAACAGCTTCACTTTGAATTAGCTGAGAAAGACAGAGAGAGAGAAGAAAACATAAGTTTGTTATTTCTTTTTTCCCTGTTTTTAATAAGGAACTTAGCATGAAGAGCCTCAAAAGAAACCTGTGGAGTTCTTTGTAACTTCTTACCCTGCTAAGTATTTATAATTATTAATGAGCTCTATAAATCCTCACCATTACTTTCTACTGTGACTTTTGTGGACATTAAGCAGAGATTTAGGTCTAACATAGACATAGTAACCCTATCAGAAACTGCTTTACAAATTTAAAGGTAATTCCAACAAATTTTTCCTCCAAAATGCAAAAGGAAAAATTTTTCATAGATTATTATATTGCCTTAACTGTATCCACTCCTAATTCATACAGAAAAAATGATTTTTGATTCATTGCTTTTATTCAATTGCAAATTGATTATTAAACATGAATTGCATGCTGGTTTTTTTCATACTAGTAAATGGCTTCTGTAATAAATGTTTTCTTCAGAATACTCTTAAAAGGTAAAAATTGCTCCTCTTCTCTACTTAATTAATATCTAAGCATGTGTTGGAAAAGATACTGCCAGCTCATGGTGCTCTCTCAATCTTTCAGAGACCACTGAAGTCAAAGGAAAAATCCACATTCTTATGGTCAGCTCAGAGTTTTCCATCAGGCTTCTGAAGCCACTCGAAGGTTTGAACAGGTTAACAGGTTAATCTAATGAAAAGCGAATACATGGATAGGACACAAAAAAACCCCACCCCAACAACCCATAAAAAACCACCCCAACCAAAACCCAAGAACAGAAAAACAGAAAAAAGCAGTGGATTTGTTTCGAACGCTGTATCTATAATAAAGTGCAGTGTTGTTCCGCTCTGGAATCTTCCCCAGCTCCATTCAGTGTTCATGTCCCCACTGTCACTCAGTGCCTGTGGCTGTCACAGTGTGGGCACAGAGCAGCCTGCTGGGAGGGCTCCCTGTGCTCCCAGTACCAACTGCAAGAGTATTACAGGCACAGTCAGATCTGCAATACTTTGGGGAGTCTCTTGGGAATTCCGAATGCTTTTAACATGCTTAAAGTATTCTGTAGAAGATGGTTCTTAATTTGGTTTTGATATCTCAAGAAACTACAGGCACATCATCTACATCTTTTGTCAGACTTTAACACAAGGTTTATTTTACCAGATTCTGGATGAACAGTCATTCTTAGCTGGATCAACTTCCATTAAATTTAAAATAAGATTCATGTAAATTTACCTAAAGAGACAGAAAGATCACAACCATAAAATTAAGCGTACAAAGTAAAAAGATTTTTCAACATCCCCAAGGTGTGCAGGAAAAAGTTCCAGGTTGACAACGTGATTTTGTGGGGTTTTGCCTTGGAATGATGCAGAGTATAAGTAAAAGCAAAACACTTTTAGGGGGTTTGTAATGTATTAAATTTGAAAAAATCTTTATTTATACCTTACATGCACAGGCTGCAGGAATTCCCAACAACCTACTACCAGAGCACTTAAACATTGGTTTAAGACAGTGTATTAAATAGAGTTGAGCCGATAAGGAAACAGCACCCAAAAGTACCCAAGAAGTGTCTATAACCCACTGAGACTGCCCAAGAAAATGGATGGGGAGGGTGGAGATTTCCTGCTGTAGTGTGCTTTGGAATCTGAGACATATATTTAAGGCTTATCTCTGTAGGTGGATGCAATATTTACTGTAGTTGTCATTGACAAAGTTAGTCCTATCAAATGATAAAACAAACATGGGGTAACATTCTTTATCTGTGAAGGATTATATGAATGATATTAGAAAAATCAGTATATCTACTGCTTCAATATGAAAATATACTGATAGCACAAGATCTTACTTTATACTTAAAAATCCCTTTTTTCCCTTTAAAAAAATCTCATAGTCCTGCACACATCCAAACTCTAAAATCACGTTTTACTAAATTCTAAAATTAAAGTTTTTATTATAACTAAACATGCGTTTGGGGAAAAAAACCCACCTAAGTTCAAACATTTCTCCAAATTCTGAACTATATGGCACAATTTACTTTCTACCTATTCCTACATTCTTCTAACCTTTCAGAATTTATATATTGGAAAGATCTGGGTAAATGTACAAGCATGTGGGAGGCTACCTGAAAAATGAATAACTTTCTATAAAACTGTATAAATCACAGTTTCCTCGGTGTGAAGGCAATCATAAAAGATGAAACTGGAACGTATTTCAGGAAGGTGTCTCATCTACCCTCCCACTAATTTTTTGCAGCCCTTCAAGTTATTTCAAAAGAAGAATTAATTTTCACAGATGTAAGTTTTCTTAATGTGAGTTTCCTTTCCCCAAGTATTGAAACTGTAAAGGAAACAGTCAGGCAGAATACTTTTTTGCTCCTACATGGATAGCTCTAAAGAATCGTTCAGATTCCAGAAAGTTCTGACTTCTTCCCCCATGAGGAGCTGGAAGATTAGGGAGGTTATGGCAAACCAGTTTTATGTGTGATAAGCAAAGGGCAAATTTAGTCGTTGATTTTAAACATTCCAAGAATAAATCAACATTTAACTCAGGCAGTCTCACCTTGAGAGGTAAAGCACCTAATGCAACCTTGGCCTAAGACCTATTTGGGGGGAAAATTCCTTAAGGAAGGAATGATAGATTGCTCCTATAGAGAACTTGCAGGGCTGCAGAATATGCATCTCCCTGTCTGGTATCTTTTAAAGCTCTTAGTAAGACTATAATGTGCTTTTGTTCTTCTCGACTAACTCCTAATCTTCTTCTGGAAAGCAAAGATAATCAATCTACTTTTCTCAGCCAGCAACAGGAGACAGTACTCTTTAGTCACAGCATGTGTCTTCTCCTCCAGAGACTTTGAGCTGACTGTCTTAATTATTGGGGTCCACTGAAGTCAATGAACTGTGATAATTTACATCAGTCGAGCACTGTTCTTTTCTTTTAAATTATGATACAGTAGTGAACCAGGGATCAGTCTGGCTGTGCTGGCTGGATAAGTAACGAGAAGGAAAGATGAGTTGAAAGATGAACATCATAGCCTTGATGTACATGTTCTTGATTAATGAAGAGCTATTACATATTTACCAGGTAAATGGAGGAATATGTGAAAGGAAACAAAATGACAGAGAGAAGGGAGAGGATAGGAACTTTTTATTGACTAGTGCACAGTGAAATTCAGCTATTTGCAAAACTTTCAGCTAAGAATACCCATTTATATATGTAACTCCAGGATACTAATCCCACAAAGTCCAGCAATATCATTACTGCAGTATATAGTCCAAGCATGTGCTTCCAAGAACTTGTAACTCCACTCTGGGGGCTTGAGAAAGTCACCAAAACCAGCATGAGCAGGTAATTATCCAAGACTGTGCAAGAACAGAGTTCCTTGTGATGATTACCCAGTAGGAATCATCCTAATCATATGACAGACAGTACTGATCAGATCATTGCAGGCCTGCACAAAAGAAAAAAAATCACCGCTGATTGAATAGCAGAAGCAGGACACAATAGAGATGATTAAACGGATGGTGTAGACATGGGGCTGCAGGAATAGCAACTCACACATCAGAATCTTTGACTAGCAGAAGCTGTGAAAGTAAAAATAGATGCTAAAGAGCAGCTGATAAGAAATCAGAAAGAAAAGAGGAATTTGTTGGATAAGTGGAATGTGATCAGGACAGACTGAAATTAAACATGAAAAAACCAAGAAAGGAGAAAAAGGAAAGATATTCACTTATTTAGAACAGTCTCAAAGTATAACTAGATGATATATGAAATATATAATTACACAACCAGATGATCTGTGCAAAAAAGAATTATCCTACAGCTACTGACAATAGGATTACACCATGGAAAGGATACCTTTGCAAAAACAGCTGATCAGACAGCTGGAACTCGGCAACAGGTGGCCATGCAGCTGTTTGCTTAGTGAGACAGTAAGAACTCAGCAAGTATAACTGTGGGGCAGCTGCGTATTAGACATCAGAATTAGGCAGCAAGAAATGATCTGAGGGCTCCAGAGCCAGGCAATATGAATAGAAAAGTGCAACTGATAAAAACAGTAGAAAAGAAAGAAATTCATTTGAGAAACAACAGGACCTGACAACAACAGGGCAGGGGAGTGGGATCGGACAGCTGACTGGACATGGCTGGGATCAGACAGCATATGCAGCCCGTCAGCCAGAAAAGGGATCCAAATTCAGGAGCAGTTCTTTGGCAAGAAGCACAATAACCCAACAGAAGCAATAAATCAGATTTGACAAGGTGAGTGCAGTCTCCTGCACTAAAAATGGTCAGGAAATGCATGTCGCTGTGGAGCAGTGCAAGCATCAGCAGCTGATGTTGAGCCCCAGTAACACAGACTCCGTGTGGAACCTGGCACACCTTCCTCTGCCATGGTCCGTGCTCCCTCCCTGGTGAGGGTTTGCAGGAATGCCAAGGGAAGGGGCTGGATCTGTGGGAGCACATACTACAATATGATGACTATAATCCTTCACCAAGGCAAGGTATCTGTCATTTTCTTTCACCGCTGTTTCAAGCTCCACTGGTTTGAGAGGATTATGAGTAATGATTAAATCCAGCAGCCTCTTTTTTCTGTACAAAGCACCAGAATTTGCCTTTTGTATCTTCTTCTTGCAGTCGGCAAAGTTCTGTCTTAAGCTGCAGCATAGTCAAACCTTCAGTAAAATATTAGCAAGGTGTTGAGGGAACAGAGCAGATTATAGGTCATTGTCTTTAGATATCATCTGGCCTAGTGCACTAGCACAGCTTGTGCCATTGACAAAGATATAGCACCAATACATCACTGATGCCTTAAGCAGATATGCTGCTATTCATTTAATCTTTCCTTGGCTTATTCTCCCTGTACTCTTGCCAATTTCTGATCACTGTTTCTGTTTCTATAAATCACTGGGATGCCAAGAAACATTACAAAAATCCTAGAGAATTGAAATGGCATTTTTCATTTTGTCCTCCACTCTCCCCTCTTTCCCCACAAACCCCATAGTTATGCCTGTATAGAGGATTTCTCAGACCTTTTTATTTAATCTTTGAAGGTCTGTGACAGCATCACCAGCCTAATCCTTCAAGATAGTGGTTAGTAAAATTTATAGACCAGTTCTTTCACCAAAAGCTGGTGTAGCAAGCACTATTGCCCAGTTCAGCACTGTTTAACTGCTGCAGACAAGAACAGAAGGATGTTAAAACCCACATTGTTCTTATACTACCTATATTGACCTCTGTCAGTGATGGAGCTCCTCATGACAATTTTTTTACAGTGAATTTGATGCTTTTCTTGATTGTCCATCAGTGACTTGCAATCACATTAAACCACCATATCTGCTCACAAAATCTTATCACTGATTTTGTCTGTTCTTATTTTGCTCTCCCATATTTCTTTTCTTCAAAATGTTTTCCCCCTCCCCCAGAAAGTCTCCTACATGAGTTCATCAGATGAAAGCTCATGGGATCAACTGCACTAAATTTTTCATGAGGTTTCTCAGCCTTTTGACTCTTCATGCTGTTAACAATTAAAGCACTAATTTGCAGGCCAAACAGAGAGTCTTCCCTGGTCTCTCCTCATAGAAGTGAGTCTATGAGACTCTCATTTTCCTCCATGTATATGTATATTTTGAAGTCAGAGATAACCCAGGATCTCATTTAGGTCCTCCCATCAGTGTTCTCACCTGATACCTCTAATCTGAAACATAATTCTGCTGCTACCCTGTGCTATTGGAGGCTGCCTGAGGTTTTAGGCAGAAGCCCAGGACACAGCTTTTAGTCATACTGACAACCTGACCACTGTGCCATGTGACTGGAAAATAAATAACAGAGGTACTGCTAGCTCTCAAATGTCTCCCATATTTGCCTCTGTGGCACAAGCACATTTGGTCTCTGCCTTCTCCTGTTCAGCACTGAAATCATTCAAGGTTTATCTATGCTAATCAAGTATACTTCTACCTTAATCCCATTTTTCATTCCCCCCCCGAAATGACACGGCATTTGCCCAAGTGGCCTGGCCATGGAACCTGTCCCACGGGTTTGGGTGGGGACAGAGGCCAACCTGGGAGCTCCCCTGGTACTGGGTGAGACATATCCTTACAGACTGAGATAGAAAGGGCTCCTTTCCTCAACTACATGGCTCTATGCACCATTAGGTCCTGGGATGTGCAGTGCAGAGCTCTGGAGTTCCTTCCCTTTGTCCGAAAGAAACCTTGGATCAGATGTGCGGGAGGAATGTAAATTTTAGTGATGTTCCTTTAGTTAGAACTATGTCTGCTAAGTGGCAAGTCCCCAGCTGCAGCATGTTATCACTTTTCCAGCTCCAATCACAGACCAGCCTGACCACACGGTCTGCAATGTTGGATTTGGAGCAGGGAAGAAGTCACAGTACAGATCCACAGATGTGAGAAAACACTGCTGAGTGTGTGATAGAAGCTGGTGTAGGAGGTCTGATTTGAGAGACTTGCTGCCACATTTTTAAGGCCAGCCCTGCAGTACACAGGTATCCTATGAGTATGGAAGTCCTGTGGAGAAAAAACCATATAGAAGGTACTGGAAATCCATGACACTAAAGCAATTCGTTCTGCCATCATTATTGCAAAGAAAGTAGGTGCTTGAATCCATGAATTCTGGATTCTTAACGTGTCTGTCACTACTCTGTGACTCAGGAGGACAGGGCTGCAGGCTCCACTAGGTCTAGCCTAGGTCAGGGTCCCTGCCACCCTTTCAGCAGCACCAGCAGCAGGAATTGTGCTCCCACTGCCCTGCCACGGGCTCACAGGCTGGCAGCTGAGCAAGAGCCCATCAGCACTGCTTTGTAAACACTGGTCTGTGTGTCTGTGTGCACAGGATCTTTTCTGTCATCTCTTTCTACAGCGTAATTTGGCTTCGAAAATTCCAGCAGAATTTGGGAACTTAGCAGTGATCCATTTCCTTGATTTATGATAAGGTAAAATCTTAAATCCTCTTTAATTTTACTGCCACTAATGCAGCCTTCACATTGTGTTTAACAAATAAACTAATGTGTGTACATAAAGAATAAAGTTATTTTCTGCTAAATAAGTAGATTTTGGTTTCCAAGTTAATGGGTAATTGTAAACAGCAGCTGCCTAGATATCATCCTTTATGGCATGAATAGAACCATCAGCGTATTGAAACTAGAGGGAGAAAGAATATTTGCTTCAACTGCCTTGTTGTTCCCTTCGGAAAAAAAATCCTTTTGAAGCATGCAGCTACAAAGCAGCTATTTAACAACAACAGCAGCAAAAAGGTGTCATTTTCTACAGCTTTAGGAAAAGGGGGAGAAAAGTAACAGCTACAATAATAGAATGTGATATATTATAAATTTCAGGAAGAATCAATCCCTCAAAGAAGGAGAAAATGAATGTATATAAAAGGTCTCCATTCCACAGAAAAAGGAAAGATGCCTTTGGAAATACCTAAACTGTTATTTTTTCTTTAAAAAAATCTTTTCTGTGTTCTGTGTTTTATCTGTTTGAAAGGGATACTTTCATTGTTTACAATATCCCAACCTTCACCAAAATGCCAACATTTACATTTGCAAAACTTACACTCACTCACAGCCAAAGTCAGTTCTATGGGTACAAACTCAAATCATCCCCCTCTACATGGCCCTTATAGAGCCACCTTCTGATAAGTCCTTGTTCCCTTCGGATAAAGGCAAAATGTACATCTTCTCGGTTATTGTAGGAAAAACTAAATGCTATTTTTTTTTCTTTGTCCATATCCCTTTCTATTTGTCAACAACTGTATGCAGGTAAAATAACTGCACAAGATTTCTCCTTACTAAGCAGCAAAAACTCCAGCTCTGTTCTGTAGATAATCAATTCTGAAGTTATATAAAACTAAGTTCAGCCTCTGTAATAGTAGATTTGCACAGCTGTAAATCAGAGAACAACCAGTTCTAAGATTTTCACAATTCTGAGGTTTTGCCTGGTTCAAGCTATTGATTTTGTCCCTGGTACTATAATTATTGGTAAGAAGAGCAAATACTTTGAAAACATGTCAGCAATCATATAACAGAGAAATGGAAAAGACTGTTTTCCAACAGCAGCCCTTTTCCTGAGCAGAACTTTTTAGAACAATTTCAAGGGACTTTCTTATTAGATACCTGTATCACTTGTATTAATATATTGTTGTTTTATATGTCCATAGAATTCCTGTGACAAACAGATGTGTCTTCCATGAAGTCACCATTCACACCATTTTTGTAAATTTAGCATGTCTGTACCAGTGGTTGAAACTGTTTTAAAATTCAATTTGAGGGATTATGAACTCACATATTCAGACATTTATCTCATGTTGTCGCTGAAATGTATCCATGTCACTTTTAGGTATCTCCTCCATATGAAAAAGTATATTGTGGAATACATTTAATACTGTTTACACCCCTGATATTCAGAGTGATTATATTTCTTATCTTAGTATGCAGAAACATTTTCTCATTTAGTTTAACAACTAAAAAAACTTACCCTAGAAAATAAGTTGTATTTATCCCTAATTCAGACATTACTGCATTAGCTATGGATGACAGATCAGGATATGTAAATTTATTGGATATGTTAATAACTCATACCTTGGCTGATGGAAAATTTGGAGTATTACAATGTAGATGAGGCTTGCCCACAACACTTACAGAAAAGGATAAAGAAACTCATCTTCAAGATGCTGTTTGCCCTCATTATAATTGTTAAAATAATAGCATTATAATCTGAAACATTTTCCTCTGAAAGGAAAAAATTGTAATTAACTTACATGAAGTAAAATCTCGTTAAATTAATTAAATGAAAAGAAAAATTAATTTGAAGGGAAAAACAAATGAGGAACAAACTTTATTAAATACAGTAGAACCATTAATATTCATTTCAGTGAAATGAATATAATTAGAAATAGTCAGCAAGCAAGAAGGCAGAAATCTGCTCTCTCTGCACAATGGAGGAACTGTTCCATGATACTCTCTGTAAAATATGGCTTCACACATTTCACTGCAAATAGCCTTCTGATACAGAGTGTATTATAGGTTTTAGTTTCAAAATAGACTGCTAGTAGTTCTTCAGGTAAGAGATCTAAATTCCAGTATGAGTTCTATCTCAAGAAAATGGTTCCACGCAAGATTAAAATAGAATATGAACAGCTATTATTAACGGACCTCCATAAAGTGCTCTGCTTTATAGACTGCTCTGTGCCAGCCAGTCCCCCGTGTAAATGTTTTCTAATTGAAGTAAGGCAGGAGCAAGCACAGAGTTCTGTCCTCAATCTTCACTCCCAAACTGAACACCTCCAGAATGAATCTGTATGAACTGATTCAGATACCTCTGCTGCCGTAACTACAGGGATCAGAAACTCAGCCATCATGGAAAACCCAACCACAATACAACCCACAGGTCTATGGTTCCACCTAATGACAACATCACAGGACTTATTTTGGTCAAAGCATTGTCAACAGAGCTGAAAAGAGCTGACATTAGAAGACAGCTGTGTACTGACTGTGTGCAGCCCGTGTTTGCTGGTGGTGTTCTAAACGTCGTCCCAGCTCATTGGATTTTATCTGTTCTTCATTAATTTTACCTTCTGTTTTCTCCAAAACAATTTGAGGCAGAATAGTGGTTACTGAGTATTTGACAACAGTTGTGTAAACACATAATGGTTTTCATATGGGTCTGGAACGTACACAGCATAAACTCAGAGACATTGCAGTGGGTACTGGAACTACAGTACCATTAACCTGCCATCCCTTCTTTTTTTTTAAGTAAAACACAGAACCCCTAGAATGGAGTTATATAATAACTAATTTTGAATATTTCCTCTTTCACTTTCAACTGGATCAATTAACATTTTATAACTACTCATGAATTATTTAAGGATTGAAAAGTCTCTCATGAATGCTTAGCTAAATTAAACCCAAAATACTTCAAATACGAAGTAAATCTGGAATTGTTCTAGAACCTCAAAGGTGTTAGCAAACAATTATTTAGGTTTTTTATTAAAAAACAAAAAAAACCCCAAACATAGAATAACTATTTAGTTGATGTCTTCATAGGCTTTCTGGACTGAATGACCAGAAAATACTCTGTATTTGTGACTATTTGGTTCACAGAGCTGATACCATGGAAGCACAGGTTGTCTCCTGGTTGCATGCTATCATAATTGTTCTGCTGTTATTCCCTCTAAAAGTCCCTAACTTGCTAAGAATTTTTCTTTTGCTTGTTCTTGCTCTAATAATTTGTCTTTTTCTTGTTCCCTAGGACATTATGACTAATTCACTGCTTGAGCATTTTTAATGTTCTTAAAAGCCACTTCTGAAACTTGGTATTACTAGTGCAAGAAAATGTTAAATATCGTTTTAGTAGCATAAACTGGAGACAGTAACCAGGACAATGAGAAAACACAGCAGGAAACAAAAGAGTAAATAGTAAATGCTTGCTCTAAAACATCTATAATTGTTGTTTTATCGAGATCTGCATTCTTGGTAAAAGGATGCATTACATGATAGAGCAGGTTCTTAGCACAGAAAACAAACTTGATGCACATGGAAAGCAGCTACTCTGGAGAAGTATGGCAGTATTTTCACATAGAACATTTAGGATTTTACTGAGAAAAAAAATTATGTTTGGGTTCTCTTACTGTCAATCTCTCTGATTTCAGACAAACTTTCTAAAAGTCTGCAAATTACAGTGAAATTCTATACTTTTGTCTCTTTAATGCAATTCCTTTTTCCTACAAAGCACTTTCAGAAGTACTCATCTGTAAAAATCACTGCATTGGAATGCTCAAAAAACCTTGATCTCCTACAATTCCTGCTCACAGACTTCTCCAGAGACTGAGTCCACCCACACAGCAGATACAGCTCCAGAGAACTTCAGTATATAAAACGTTTTAAAGATTTGGTGCCTTTTCCAACTCCATATTTTAACACAGTTTTGGGGGTTATTTTCCCCTTTGGCTGGTATTCATAGTATTGTGTGGATATATTCTCCGCTGATGTATGATAGACCAGGCATTACAAATTTTCCTCCCTCTGAAAGCATTTCCTACCTACTTTTCTAAGCCAAGAAGGCTTCTGTCATCATACTGCATTTGTGTGTCTATTAGATGCCTCCTTACGATCCTGTTAGCTGTTTTCTAATAACAAGTCTAAAAGCTAGTAACTTCCTCATGATTTATTAAAATAAGTAGCCAGTTAGAGAAGAGAAAATGCTAGAATTCTCCTTTCAAAGGCTGAAACTCAAGAAAACTCCTTCCTCAGCACAAAAGAATCTGCACAGGCATCAGACAGGTGAGTCTGATGCACTGAAAAGTTTACACAGAAGCTTTAATTTTATTAGACATCAGAGAATGTGTTATATGAAGGCAAGGTCACAGAGGCATTGGAAAAAAGGTTTCATTCCACAGAACAACTTGTTTTTGAAAAAGTATGTGAAAAATAGAAGATTTTCTTTAAATGAGGTTGAAACACAGTATGTGTGCTTCCCCAAGGAACTGTGTCATTCAATCAACCCATGTTCCACAATAGGTTGAAGTCAGAGTTGCATCGTTCCAGTGAGTTGAGCTTCAGCAAGAACTCAGCTGAGCGTGGCAACAGGGCAGAAAGGAAGTGACACAGTCACAGAGAATGGGAAAATGAAGAGGCCCCCAGGAACTAATACCAAGACAGTTTTAATACTGTACAGACATTAAAAGCAGTCGTAGGTCAACTGTCCCTGAAATTAAAAACGAATAAAAGAATGCCAAATATCTCCAGGACCAACTGGAGATGCCTTTGTGTTTGCAACGTTTCCATCCTATGTTTTCAGTGAATAATTTCTAAATGCTTTCACATCCTTTGGTGACTGGGATAGGCTGCAAGCTTTCTACTGAGATAGATTCCATTTTTAAGCTATGGGCAAAAAATCTCAACAAATTTTTGATAACTTCTTCTGTTTTAGGGCAGCGGACAGACTGGAATGACAATCCTACAAAAGGGAACAGCATTAGCCCTGCTTTCTCCTTTCTAAAAACATCAGATCTGAACATCATGTCACTTTTAGCATCTCAGCCACATTTTTTGTTAACTGCTTTCTGAAATGTAACTCATCTTGAGAAAGAAAGGGTTTGGAAAAGAATACCAAAGCCTGAGAGGCCAGAGAGGAGCACATGGAGCATCTCTGATTATTTGCATTAGAAATTAAATCATTTAAAGGATTTGATACAGCAATTGTTTTAATTGCTTATTGTGCAAGAATAAGTAAAACAGAAAATTACTGGAATAACTCAAGTACCTGACTGTGCAGTATTCTGTAATGAAACACAGTAGCAAACTTTTTGAAATTTACATTTCAAATTAAAATCATCCCTGTAATTTTCTTATCGATGCATTCTCATACTGATAGTGACAAGAATACCAGTATGCCACTGGCCTTCCTATATCAAAGAGCACTATTTCAATGTGCATTTTTGATCTTTGTGGCCTTTTTCATCTCTTTGAAAATTCATTCAAGTCCAGTTAATTTGAAGACAACAGAATCTGTATAGTTTCCTAGTGACCACAACTTTTCCTTCAGAACATGTGCTAAGCATTGGGCTACTGCAGAAAGCTGTGTATTCTCTCATTAGCGGGGTTTTACTGTGTGAGTTAGAAGAGGTGTGGAACTGAGATGAAGAGACTGATCATTTTTCACTTACTTTAATCTCTCGTTTTCTATAGGAAGTTTGTGAACAAGAAGCTCTTAAGGTGAGCTATAGAAAGCAGAATCATGGGAAGAAAGGAAGGAAAGAAGAAACTGAAAGCTCCATTCTCTTGTTTCTAAGATTGAGGACAGCTTCTACACTCATCTGAGCACTTGGCTGAGCTTCATGGTTACAAAATATGTTATTTAGGTGTAGGCAGAAAAATTTCAAGGATCTAGATTGAGAAATTGCTCTTATATAGCATGGTAGTCAACAGTATATTCCAGTATATTTTAATCCCAAAACTTCAAACATACTTACAACTGACTCTTTTTCTTCGTTTCTGTCTTGTGAATAACTTCCTTGACTTTAAAAAGGTTTCTTGAGAAAGAAGCAAGCAATATCGGATTATCTATTTAACAGATTTTACTAGTGTTGATATTATACTTTTAAATCAACAGGTTTTATTTTTCTATTTATGTTCTAAAGATATATGTAAGCAATAAAACTGTAAAAATATTTAAATACACATCATAAATAAAATAGCAGCATCTCCTTCTCTGTGATCTTTTTTAAGAATAAACTTGAAATATTTCCCCAGAAGTTTGTGATACAGGAAAAACACCTCTTATAAGAATGTTGGTTTTTCAGATGGATTGAGGTAACACGACAAATTCCAGTAAATCTAAGATTTTACAAGAATTCTCTGAGTCAAATAACCTTAAGTTCCAGCAGCATTTTACAATGTGTGAGTGCACTATCCATCAAAACCACTCTGCATATCTGGAGATGCTGATATTGTTAAATTGGGCTGACAAGAAAATCAGAGTTCTGTGGAGCTCACCTTTGCTGTGCACTGAGGAGCATCCTGCCCCTCACTCCAAGGGAGTGAGCACAGGGTGGGACACAGGGTGGAAGAAACAGCTCAATACAAGGCGGAGGTTGAAACACAGATGCTCTGCTGCTGCTGCTGACACATATCTGGAAGAGATGAGCCTTGAATCAGGTTCATGCTGCTGTCTGGTATAATGATAGGAGAATAACTCTACAGGTTAGAAAAAAGAGAGAGAGGATCTACTTGAGAAAGAAAAAAAGGTATCTCACCATACAGAAGTATTGCAGCAAAAGGACAGAAAAGACAGATTTACACATCATGCTTCAAGAAGGGTTTTATTTATCCAGCCCCCAAGCTTGCCTGGAGGAAAGCTGGATCGTGCTTATATGCAGAAACCTCTGGTTTAGCACAAATGACATTCTGCAATGTACTCCCATTTTCAGATAATGATAAAAATGGGAATGTCAGAAATATGAGGAAAGGTTTGTGTGCTAAGAAGCTTGAACTGACCTAATGAAGAGTTCACGAGCTGACACAGGCAATAAATCTGCTGTTAGAACAGCACAAATAATGGAACAGGCAGTTCAACAATTATACTACACTATGAGTTTTCTTTGGGTAGTGTATAAAAAAGAAACACTTGGACTGACTTCTGTCACTGCAATAGAATATAGGAAAGGGAAATATTGTGATGACTGTAGAGTCAGCTTGTAGCACGTATAAAAGAAGGAGCTTTCAATTGCATCTAGGTAGAAGCTGAAGCCGTCTCTAAAATATTACTGGAAACACACTTGATGAGCAGTGGAATGTGGCAGTGATGCATTCATCTGGATAGTTGTTTTCACTGAAGCACTATCACAGCAGGACAGAAGATGGTGCAATATTTTCCAGCCAAATCTGAACAAGGAATAACTTCAATACTTGTGAACAAGCCTGGATTTTTGTCATCTGTTTTACTTCTGTCACTTGTACAGTCTTTTCTGCTTGTCTTTGCTGATATTTATAACCCTGTACACTGTTCCAAATCCCTGCTGCTTTTCGACTGCTCTGGCCAAATTTGTTCGAATTCTCTTTGCAACAGGATTCCTAGGTTTAATAGGCTTTTAATGACTATTAGTTGCTTTGCTCAGGGACTCCTCGAGGGTCACATTCCACAGTGGAGAAGTGCATGCTTTGAAAAACAGAGTACAAAACGTAAACAAGGAGAGAGTGAGAATGTAAAATTTGGAATTCCTGCACATTCGTTTTTTTCAACAGAAAAGCAAAAAAAATTTATGTGTGAGAGATACCTTAAGAGTTTGCATGTTTGGGTTTTTTTAAAAAATTATTCACCATCCTTGCTTTTATGCGGGCTACACTGCACCCTGTGTAAATAAGCTTATTATCTTTGCTTTAGCTTTTTAAGATTATAGTATAATCTAGAAGATGCAGCAAGAAAATACTTTCATATTGTTCCATCTCTTACCTAAGAAGGATCTTGCCAGACATTTATTGATTTGTGCTTCAGCTTTATGCTCACTAATCTGTCCTGCTACCTATAATTGAAAACATCTTACGTCCCTTTTCCATATCCCTGTCCCATTATATGAGAATATGTGTGTGCATCATTTAAATTTGTAAATGGTTTACATACTTTTGCCTGAAGACATTCTAGGATGTTGTTCATATATACAATTTGAAAGCATTTCACAAGTGATGATAATAGCACACACAGAGGTATATGTTTCAATGGGAATGCAGGCAAGCAAAGAGACATATATACATATATCACAGACAAAATCAAGAAATTAAGCATTATCTTATCTTGAAAAAAAAACCAGCTACAAAGGCTGCTATGCTACTGGGAGGAGAAGGAAGGGCTGCCCTGACTCAGGTAAACTCTCTGGGGTGTAATGTATATAATGCCTGGAAAGTAGTATTATGGAACCACAGATGAGAAAATTAGGAAATGGTATTGATTACAGTTGTCATGTCTTCTCTAAACCATTTGGATATTCTCAGCAGCATTCCCAAGGTGTATGCTAAGTTAAATATATAGAAGCACATTACAAAATCCACATGATGGTGCTTCAACAGACTTATTGGCAATTAGAGATGAATTTGTTTTTCATGGAATCTACAGCTTTAGCTCCAGAAAACAGCGACTATTTTGCAAACTGGACTGAAGGACATTATGGGGTCACATTTTAATGTCTGAATCTAATTTTCAGGTAAAAAATACCCTTCTACACATTTTGCAGCACCCTAGTATTTTCCCCAAAGTGTCCTTTGTGTTCATGGGAGATGATGTGTGTTGCTGGAATGAGATGAAGTGTGTTGCTGTAAGAGCTCCCTGCATTCCCATGGTAGTTCAGCAGCCTACACACACAAATGGCAGAAGGAAACCAATGCCTGTCAGTTTGCAGCTTAGAAAAATGTGACTGAGATTTCATTTGCTATCACCAAAAGAATTTTTAGCCTAAAGATGACAGCTATCTCTGGCACGAAGCAACGGCCCTCTCTCTTTAAACACAGGCTGCTGAGGCTTAGCCAGGAAATGTCAGAAGGAGTGACACGTTCAGTGCCAAGTGCCCTGAAAAGGACATGGTTTAACCAACTTAACCCATTCTAAATACAGAGTCTGAGGAAGGATCTTTTCACTTTCCAAGTTCTTGAAAGCAAAACTAAGCCGCAGGTTTTTAAATCTATTTGACTTTTGCATCTGTGTAACAGAGTTATTACGTTTTCCCTTATTGTTAACATGAGGGAAACATATACTAATCTTCCCATTGCCTCTTTTCCTCAAGGAAAAGTCTCCACTTACTCATTAATTTGATACAGAAATGAATTTCCTATGCCAAGAAATTATTCTTGCTAGCATACTATATAAATTTCTCAGCAATCACAAAACTGTAAAACCAACCAACTAGAGAAAAATCATTTTGCATCATCAAATATTGATTAAGCTAATGAAAATTTTGACAAACAGATATATGATGGCATGAGATTAACTGCCTTATGTGGTTTTGCTAGATATTTTTCCTTTGTAATTAAATGTGAGTTTATATGTCACAGAAAATTATAAGAAGAAATGAAGTGGAATTAAATTAATTTTATATTAGACTCGAAAATGCAAATGATACCCTTTTGATATAAATTATAGTTTTTTTCCAGGACCACCTTTGGTACTTCAGAAGCAAAATGAAGCTACAATTTTACAGGCAATTCTAACAGACCAATTATTAGTATTAAGACAGTATCTGTAGCACTAGACAAAAACTGAGTCTCTTCTGTGCTTCAGAAATTCATTCTTATATTCTATATATGTGCTCAGATTAAGAGGATTTTAGAAACATCCAAAACAAACAGACACAAAACTGCACTGGCAGTGTTAATAAGAAAAATACTGTGATAATTAGAATGGTTCTTATACTAAATTTCTTTTTCCCTTTTTCTCAAAAGTTACCACTCTTGCAAGAAACTACAAGGAGTTCTACACTGATCAAAAAGACGAATTTGCAGTGTAAAATTCCAGCAACAAAAATGATTACGTTCCCCCAGTTAGTAGGCAATTATCTTCCATGTACATTTGCAAATTGAGGGGCTTAGCACGAAGGGAAAGTGGAGAAATGTACTTTTGCATGATCTAGTTTCAGGCATATTCCCATGGGAAGTCATGGCCTCCTATAACATTTTCTAATACTTGTTTTGCAACATATGGTTTGTGAGCATTCAGGAGAAAACAGTATGACCTCTAAATAAATGCCATTTTTAAGAAGGACCATGTGTGCAATTAGAAGATTCTCAGAAGAGTGAAGTGGGGTTTAAAAGCTACTCCAGTGCCTTTGGGCAGGAATCCCTGGCACAGACTGAACCAGAAGAAGATAATCTTGATTAACAGTACCTTGGAGGCAGGGACAGAACTGGTGATGCTCGGCAGCACTGCTACAAGGCCTGCTGGCCAAAGCCCAACAAGAGAGCAAGCTACACTCAGTTTTTAGGTGTGACAAGTATTTCTCCCTAAGACACTCTTTTGGGATTATATATAAAGATTTCAGTTCTTGTTGCCCTCAATAAGGCTCTTTGTGCCATTGGCAGAATATTCTGAGAACTGCATGGCCTATAAAAGGCTCTGTCACAACTACTGGAGTTCAAGAAACTTCTGGTACATGTGCAGCACCCTCCATCATTCCCTCCTCCAAAGGTCAGTTAGATTACTTGGATTATTGGATGACTAAAGAGAGGGAAGGAGAACGAACATTTACAGTCATTCTCAATAGAAGTAGAATGGTACCATCTAGAGAACATAAATCACTTCATAACTTATTACAATCCAATATAAAATTAGTTTTATTCATTGATTTAGTCTGTTTTATTGTAAGTCAAAAAATAGTCCAAATATTGGACCTAAAAGTCTCTTCTTTGCTGTAAGGTTCAAATACCTCCTAGGAGTGCTTACCACCTATGAATAACTTTTTTTTTTCATCTTATTTCCAAAGGGAGATAAAAAAATCTGGATTCAGTCCAGAGCTGAGTTTCACTCTTTTACATGATATCTCAGCC